AAACAAGCTACGAATGTTGAACACTTTAAAGTCGTTTAAATCGCATAACTCTCCGAGTGGATTAACTATACGCTTGGTAATGCTAAATAGGTACGCGAAAACTCTCTGGGAAAATTTCCTCTCGCGCAACGAGACTCGACAGTATCTTTTAATACAGATCGTTCCCATAAACATGCGTTAAAATTAATTGAGACTTGACTGAGTCTCCGTGCGCTTTTAGAAACGAACCTAGAGGCAAGATTCTTAAATATTTTTGCATCTTTCTGCGAGTTAAATTTTTTTCAAGAGAAAATGAAAAACGGGCACGAGTACACGTGGACAACTCTTATAACAATCTAAGATTACATGTACACTGAGAAAAAAAGTTGTTAACTTGACTGAATGCGTTTAACTGATTACTATTTTTTTTATTGAAATATTTAAGTATTCAAATTAAATACGACATATTAAATCAAACATGACGTAATTTGACTAAATACTTAAATATTTCAATTTAAAAAAAAATGGTAATCAGTTGGACGCATTTATGCTCATTTTTACCAATATATAGATTAACTTAAATCTCGGTTTAACTTACTTTCTTTCTTTTTCTAACTCTTAGAACTTATAGGAAAAGATGACAGGTAAGTTAAACCAAGATTAAAATTAACCTGCGTTGATATAGAAATGGAAATTAGTCGAGTTAACAACTTTTTTTCTCAGTGTACCCCTCGACATGAACTATAAATGTCCTTTTCGCGCCATTGAGGGTCCCGCGAAATTTAGGTGGATGCGAATATCCGAAAATTCGAATTCTCACTATGAATACAAATGTCCGATGGAGACCGCCTACGTAATATCCCGCTTATCTCGCTCGTTCGCTCGTATCGTAAGTCGTCGGTGTGTGGCGAGCTTTAAAGCCCGACACTCGCCGCGGCGGGGAAATGGTGCTACTCTGAATCACCAGCAGCCACGGCAGCACACCGACGATATTCCTTTCTGATCGATGCGCTCGCGACGATACGGCGCCTGCAGACCGTCCTTTCAGATACGCGCGGCCCGGCCTCGGACGAAAGCTGCATGGTGCACGCGGACACGTTGCACGCCGCGGAGAAAACCGCGGTCGCGCTGAACGATGGTCGGCGCTATTATACGCGCCGGTCGATCGGGAAACGGTGATCGCCGTTGTTTTTTATGCGGAAGTAGATCGAACGAGGTGAAGCGTCCGCGAGATTGGAATCGAAAATGAGATATGTGCGCACACACGCAGCGGCACCGTTAAGGCCGCCTCGAAATTTCATCGATGCGAGACAGCATTTATGAAATACTCAATTAACATCCTCAATCAGATGCAATTAAGAATATATCTGTACCTTAGAGGTAAAGAATTGTATCTTTATTATTATAAATTCAGAGAAAACAAGGTTTAAAGTTTTAAATAGAGATATAATTTTTTTAGATATAAAATAAAAGTAGCGCCTTGATTTATTAAATTTTTAATAAAGTAATTTAACTGACATGTTTAATAGTACAACTACCAATAACACCTGATTTAAAAATTATAGGCACTATAAAAATTTTCAATAGGTACGACTTTTTTTAAATATTGTATCTTAGGAACTAGTATATAATAATAGACATAAGACGCTTTACCATTAAACAACTTTTAAGCTCCTGTTATATTGAAAAATGTATTAACTCTACTTTGACAAACTTTTGACAAAAGCCCGGGAAAAAATACCTTTTATTTGTCCATATTAGTAGATATATAATTATATATGATCATATAAGAAATAGAAATATAAACAATATTATATGGCTATATATGGGAATATATGATTATATATTCTTATAAATGGAGATACGATTTTTTACCTCTAAGATATAGAAATAGAAAAGAATATTCGCAGAATTGAAAACGAGACTAAAATAGCATGTTCGCGCAAATGCAATTTTGAAATTCCTAGTATGAAAATTATTAGGATGTGTTACATAATTTTCTTATACGAAAATTATAATCGTTAATCAACAAAAATCAAGATATATGTATAAGTAATAAATATATATTTTAAAAAATATATATATGTACCTATATACATATATGTTGATTAAATATGATGTAATGTTATAATAATGACGGAAGCGAAGCAGAAATGACGGAAATAACGATAGAAGAGACTGGATGACATATTAAATTTGCCATTAAACGTTTACTATCCCAGTTTTCCATAATGGATTTCTAGTGTAGCGAATTTAATAAACGTTTTGATACCACAATGACGTCAGTATTGTTCCGCCCGTCAAAATGGTGCTGCGAGAGAAAACGTGTCAGCTGGGATATAATAAACTTCTGGAACGCACGCATGTTCATAAATATTGACAGCCAGCCGACATAATTATTAATTACCTCGTAATTACTCGCGCATTTCATTAGGGCCGTATTTGCTTTGTGGAACTGGAATGTGACAAGCGGCTTTTGAGCTTGTTATATGCATTAAAATAATTCAACAATGTATTATGCGAATTAATGTTTCAATAATATAATAATAGCATGCTAAACTTATATATATGTAACGTTATAATTTCGTTCTCCGTAATACAGTTGCAAATAATTAAATTAAAACAATTAATGGTAAAAAACATCATTGTGAATTGTAAAATAATATATTGGATGGCTCGATAAGCGCAATTTGTCTGCATTAATAATGGACCTTTAATCAGATAAAGCATACATTCCGGGTGTAATTTAAATACATATAATTACGCTCAATGCAAATTTCTCAAGCAAAATTATCATCTCCAGATATACGTATTGTTATTAACAATCTAATTTTATTTATTATCATTTTCTATCTACAATACATACGTGTCTTTGTCCAAAATAAATATATCACCGTGAAATTGCGGCACTCAGTAAACATTGCATAGTATTTGGCAAATAGCTATTTGGTATTTAGACCATCAAAGTGATTTTAATTATCAAATAGTTGCGAATACAAAGTGCAGCACTTTACAAACTGTTCCACGTGTGCATATGTCATATGTGTTACCGTTCACTTATAACGATATACTTATTTAATAACAACTATTTTGAATTTCTTTAACTGATTTTCATAACTGTCTCTGGACCTGATAAAAAAATCATTGTTATTTTCTGTTTCTGGAAGATCCCTGCAGAAACAGTTATTTCCAATAATTAAAGTTCCGTCAGTGGGTCAAAAATGGTTCATTTTTAACATTTTCTATTGGAGCATAATCGCGAAGGATAAACATTCTCTGAGCATTCAGTTGATATATAAAATTCAAATTATTAAAACAAACTATTAAAACTTACACATGATCTTTTCGTAAAAATCGAACAACGCGAAACCCGGAGTTTGAATTGTGTCTCAGGAGAAACATCATTCGAGTTCTTCGCGCAAATCGCGATCACATATGTGTCGTCACGAATATCAAATTGACCCTTGAGACCCATCTATTCTATTAAATCGCGTTTCAAGACGCTTCAGCTGACTTTCTTAGCGATTATATAAATGTGAGCCTAAGCTTGAAAAGCCAATAAAAACCTTATTTGTTTTGAGAAACTTACAAAATTATAAGAATACAAAATTATTTCTGTGTCATAGGATATGCGCGACGCTGGCCGCGGTCTGTTACGAAAACTGAATAATGCATCACGCTGATATAATAAGATGTTAAATCAATTGATTGAAAACGTGTTAAATCGTTGGATAAATAAAGCTAAGAAAAAGTGAGAGGATAGAATATATACAACCTAATTAGCTGACGTCGCTGTCTATGGGAGATGAAATTGGTCGAAACGTGGGATGGACTCGCGTCGAACGGAAACTCGCATTAATCCGCGGCATTATGCACTTCCCATTTTCCGCCACCGCCACCCTCGTTGGTTCCGTTCCCTTACTACTCGCTTTTCGCTTCATTTCGCCGACTCGCGTTTATGATATGGCGATATTTGCCGTGATGGCGTACGGCCAAACGGGGAGAGGCCGGTCATTTGCCCGATGTGCCGATACACTACGGCCGGACATCGAAAATACGAGAAACGATCATACATTTTCATTTTAAAGCTAACTCCAAGAATTGAAGATTCGACGCTCAACTTGCGTCATTAAATTCCGCGGAAAATTATTTATCCCGCGTCTTCTTCAATTTATCCGTCGTGAGAATTAAAAGTTGTTTCGGCAACCAAGAACCATTTTTATTTTAGTATTGCCTCTCTTTAAACATTTTACACCTAAGATTGCAATTGTTGTAATTATTTACGTATTGCCTGTGCATTTATTCCTACAGAAATTTAGTTTCTTATTCGTAAAATTCCAAAAAAAGTCGTAATTTTATATATACAAAATGTCGAAAAATATTATTCCAATTATTATCTTATTGTTGTATACATCACTATTATATGATTTTATAAATATCGTGTTGAATTTAAAACAAATAAATGTTTTTGTTCATTTGGTTTACTAATAATTTTGAAATTTTGCGTGTCATTTCCGTAACTTTAAGTTTTCTCATTTGTTTGTTAACTTTAAAGTATCGCGAATAATAGTTAATTAAGTAAAAATTATTAATTAATTTACTTTACAATATTTAAAAAATTGTAAAATTTTTTGGAATGTGGGATCAAAAATAATGTTAACTTCATTTGTATTTAATTATTTTAAATATCCAAATTAAAGTAAAATTTTGCGATGTACTTGCTGTAAGTTGTCTTTTAAGATGCAATTCTACTTTAAATAAAATTATTTTTATTTTTCATTCTTGAATTATTTGGTTTTTCAAATTTTTCACGAATCAGCGATTCTGCTCAATGTTTGTGTAGAAAGTAAAGTCACTATAATGCCTAATTCTGATGAAGATTTAATTTAAAACAGAATTTACTCGCCGAATTATCGTACAAGCGGCGTCATCTGACGACGAGAGCGCGAGACTGCGCAAAAAAGTTGAGGCGGTTGTTTGTTGCCGACAGTTGCTGATGAGTGATGATTAATCTCCTAACCTAAAAATTCACGCGGTATCGTTACTGTCGTTGGAGAGTGTGGTGCGATCGTGGATCGTTCGGAATCTAGTCCAGAGAAGGGAAATGAGCGATGCCGAGCTTCAGGAAGAAGAAAGAGAAGTTTTACTCTCGATATACGACGGCGATCCGGCTTTCAAACAGCTAACACCCACGATATTTCAATACAAGGTGCAAGGATGTCTTTTAATTCGTATGCTCTTCTTTCATAATTTCGCCACTTCTCTCTAAACTAATTCGGCATAAATTGTAACAGTACAAATGTCGAGGATGTTTGTATTAAAATAGCTGTCCATTTGGATACAAAAAGTATCTCTACTTTATAGTTTCACCATATGCGGTTAATGCACTTTCCCCTTGCATCTCTTCATTCAGAGTTTAAACAATGTAAGAAGTTTACTTAGTCTTACAATTATGAAAGAGGAAAAAATGGTTAGCACACGTACGCACTTAATTTCAATCAGAAGACAAGTGTTTCTTATTTGCATGTCAAACTAATATTGTATTGTGATAAATTGTATGTATTAGCTATATGACAGTGATTGTTTACATAGTATGGAGAGGATAACGATGTAAAATCATTTCTACTGGAAATTTCATGGGGCGCAACATATCCTACGGAAAAGCCGACAATCAATATGGATACATTTTACAATAAACATATGTAAGTACAGCCAAGCGACCGCTCAACTATTCTCGCTCATTCAATTACTTTGATTAAAGATGAATAATTGGAATATACAGTGTGCAAGAGGTAAAGGACAAGGTGGTGAGTCACTTAGAGGCAGAGGCTGACCAGTGGTTAGGTAGCGCTATGACGTATACGTTATTTCAGTCTGTCCAAGAACATTACATAGACTTAGTCTGCATGCAACCAGACTCAATCACTGATATAAATTCGCATACTAGTAAGCTGAAAATTACAGAAGAGAATCAACAGGTATACATATTGCGTGGAATATCAGTTTGCTATTAAACGATACATTATTACAAATTATTGCAAGCGAAATTGTATTTAATTGTGTTTAAGGCTGAAGAAACGATAAAAAAACCGAGGAAGGAACATTTGAGTAAAGCCCAGAAGCGTAGGCAGTGGTACAAAGCGGATGGCAAAGGTGAAAGACAGCGAGGCTGGAACTGGGTGGACATAGTAAAACATTTATCACAGACTGGCCCGAGAACGGAGGAGGAATCATAGCTTAAGACCATATTTTGTACAGTATGAAAAACGTGTTATATTTTTATAAATTGTTGGAAATAAAATCATTTCCTTATCTATTTTTCAAAGTGGCCTTGGTCTCATATTATTAATCATTTTCCGATTACAGTAGTCAAGTAAGAAAAGTTATTTTAATAAAGAACAATTAGCAATTTTAAGCATAATTGTTTTTCATTTTTATTATTATTCACGTTGTCCTTATTGTTCACTATTATCCATGTAAAGTCTCCATGCATCAACTGCCAGCAAATTTGTTCCTGTTTTCCATCCTAGAATTATTAGTTACGAGTATATATTTGTACTTAAATGTTGAAAATCATTATTGACTTAAAATTGAAATTACGTACCATTCATTTCTAGACTATTAAGGAATGCTTTATATTCATTAGAAACGATTATATCTGCGGCACCGATACTTTGGATAGTTACAGTCGACATTTGTGCGGTGCTATTTGGATTCGCAAATGTCTTGTGCAGGATATATACATACAGTAATGGATACGATATTTCAGATGTCTCACATTTCATCAATATGTCCTGTATAATGTTATAGTATAGTTGTAATAAAATGTATATA